AAGATGCCAAACTCTCTTTAAATGTAGATGCATCTAATTCGGCAATTGGTGGTGTTATACAGCAACATTTTAATAATAAGTGTGAACCACTCGCGTTCTTTTCAAAGAAACTTTCTCCAGCAGAAATGAAATATAGTGCTTTTGACAGGGTATTATTAGCAATTTATTTAAACATTAAACATTTTTGGTATCTTTTGGAAGGACGACAATTTACTGTTTTTACTGATGATAAGCCCTCTGCTGCTGTGGTGTAGTGGTAAGCAGTGCGCGCTTCTACTCCGCAACGCCTGGGTTCAAACCCTGGTAGAAAAAAGGTTTTTTCTTAACAGCGGTCGTCCGTCGGCAGGCAATGGCAAACCTCCGAGTGTATTTTTGCCATGAAAAATAGCTTCTCATAAAAATACAATCGCCGTTCGGAGTCGGCGTAAAACTGTAGGTCCCTCCGCTTTGTGTGACAACATCAACGCGCACGCCACAAGTCGGAGGAAAAGCTCGGCCAAACACTAACATATGTGTAAGCGCCAATCTATTATTATTATTAAGCCCTTGGTTTTTGCTCTTAATTCCAAAACTGAACGTAGTCCAAGACAAACAAGACATCTCGAGTTTATTGCACAGTTTACTAGTGACATACAGTATATTAAGGGACAGGCTAACATTGTAGCTGACACGTTATCTCGTGCGTTTGAAGTAGATGCGTTTAAGAATTCGAAATTTAATTTCAAAACTTTACAAAATGAACAGCAACAGGACAATGAACTCGATAAAATTATTTCTGAGCAAAAAGTTCAAAATCTTAATTTAGTTAAAATTCCTGTTCTGAATTTTAATATTTGGTGTGAAGCTTCAGGAGAAAATCCTAGGCCTTTTGTTCCAAGCAGTTTACGTAGAACAGTGTTTGATATATTACATGGAATTTCTCACCCTGGTACCAAGGCTACACGACGATTAATTGTTAATAAGTATTATTGGCCTAATATGAACAAGGAAATAAATATATGGTCAAAAGGATGCATAAGTTGTCAAAAATCTAAAGTTTATCGTCACACAAAATCTCCTGTAAGCACAATTCCAATTCCGAGGAGCAGATTTGAACACATAGATTTAGATGTTGTTGGACCGCTTCCTGTTTCAAAAGGTTATCTCTACATTTTAACAACTATTGATCGATTTACACGTTGGCCGGAAGCATATGCTTTAAAGGATATTTCTGCACAGACAGTAGCAAATAAATTTATTACTGAGTATGTATCGCGTTTTGGTGTACCTTTCGAAATTACGACTGATCAAGGCACTCAATTTACATCAAAATTATTTTCGGAATTAACTAAATTGCTTGGAAGTCACCATATCACAACGTCTTCCTATCATCCTCAGGGTAATGGTATGGTAGAACGTTTCCATAGACAATTAAAATCCTCAATTTTGGCTAGAAATGGAACTAGAGATTGGTACAATGAGCTACCGATAATTCTTCTTGGTTTACGATCGGTGTACAAAGAAGATATTGCAGCCACTCCAGCTGAAATGATGTTTGGCCAAAATTTGCGTCTACCTGGAGAACTTGTTATGCCAACTACAGAAAATGTAACTTCTTCTAAATCAAGCTGCAAGACAACCTCAACACGGTGAAAGGTATAATATACGCCCCATGTCTCAACTTCGTAAAAGAAGATGAAATTGTCCAAGAGCTAAAAAGTCAGGGAGTGACCAGTATTTTCAAATTCACCCGCACACTCGACGGAAAAACAACCCCTACCGGAAAAATCGTTGTAAACTTTGACTTGTATCACCTTCCAAAATCACTAGATGTGGCTTGGTACAAAGTAAAAGTGTCTCCCTACTACCCTAACCCCATGCGTTGCAGAAATTGCCAACTCCTAGGTCATACCAAAACCAGATGCTCTAATCCAAGCACCTGTTAAGGATGCAATTTGACGCCCCATTTTCCAGTTGAATGCACACGCAAACAATGTGCAAACTGTGGTGAAAATCATTCCTCCTCTGATAAAGACTTTCCCAGGTACAAGCAAACAAAAGACATTTTAAAAATTAAAACGATAGAAAAATGCTCTATGGGGGAAGCGCGTCGCAAATATAATGAAAAACACACTCATACACAAAAACCACAAATTTCATACGCCAACATCACCAACCCAACCTTGAACAAACCAAGCACAAAAACAACGCCAAATACATCTACATCTACATCCGCAACATACAAACGCCCAGCTTCGCCAACAAAAGCTAATATAACTAAAATAGCAAAAACTCAAACGCATATTAACAAACTCATAACCGACAACGACTCTACTACCAATAAGACATCCACCCAAATTACTCAATTTACAAACGAAAATGTAAACTCAAACAAGAAAAATCTACCAACAACTAATCCTTCTCACGAAGACTCACATACCCACTCTAGCCAAACGCAAATCACTTCGCAAACCAACACCACTTCATCTCCACTCAGCCAAATAACACAACAATTATTAAACGAAAGCAGCTATTTCATGTCAGTCTTTGATTCCGAAGAACAGCCTAAACTATAAAAAAAAACAAAAACAAAAACAAGCAAATTATCAAATCAAACATACATACTTACTCTAATATTACACATACATTCACAAATGATTTTTAAAATAATACAGTGGAACATTAAGGGCTTCCTAAACAACTATAATGAACTTAACATGCTAATAAAAGAACAAACTCCCACTTTCCTGTCGTTGCAAGAAACTCATTGCCCCGCAAATTTTTCTCCAATTGTACCCAAAAACTATCTCAGCTACTTCCATAACACCCCACAAAACACGAACTTCCAAACAAGGTGTAGGTGTACTGATAAAAACAAATATTCCACACAAAATAGTACCAATAAACACACATCTGCAAATAATCGCGGTCGAAATCAACTTAAACCCAAAATTTACAATAATAAGTTGTTACATACCACCTAATCAACAAATTCCCTGCCAACATCTAACCAATCTACTTGCGTCCATTCAAACACCAGTTGTACTGCTAGGTGACTTTAACAGCTGGAACCCTTTATGGGGCTCTCCATCGCCCAACTCTCGAGGACAAATTCTTGAAAACGTTATAAATGAAGCGGAACTATGCATTTTAAATGACGGTAGACCCACACATTTATCAACACCTTTATAACAGCGATCACTTCCCTGTGATATCCACAATCACTCTATCACAAACTTACAGCACCCACTACACAACAAAAAAGTTTTTATGAGATTTTGCAGAATGGGAAAAATTTAACCAAACTGTGGAACTCGAACTCGAAAAAAGACCATACAGCGATAACCCAAACAAGGAAGCAAATAATATGACCAAAGCAATACGTACAGCAGCTAACCTATACATCCCTCAATCTTCAAATAGAGGCAGAAAACACGTACCTTGGTGGAACTCAGGGCTGGCTTTTTTACGAAGTGGAAAGATGGCAGCATGGCACACTTTCCGTAGACACCCAACACAACTAAATCTCTTAGAATACAAAAGAAGAAATGCAATTTTTCGCAGAGAAATGAAGCAACAAAAGAAATCCAGCTTTCAAGACTTCGCAAAAACAATAAACGTCAACACATCACCACAGGAATTATGGAGTAAAGTCAAAAGACTAACAAACCAGAACACGCAACACTCAATTACAGCAAGTCAAACTCCACAACATATAATTACTCACCCAAAGTTAATAGCCCACCATTTTGCCCAAAGCTGGTCAGAGCACTCATTAGACGAAAACTTTCCCGACCAGTTCAGACAAGCAAAGTCGCTGCAACAAACTCCCAATCAAGTTACCTCGAAAAGTGCAAGGGGAAATGGAAGCCGACATAACAATTGACGAACTGCTCTGTACTTTAAAAATAACCAAAGGGAATACACCAGGTTTCGATCGTATATCATATAATATGATCAAGCACCTAAATCTCTCCACAAAAACAAGACTGTTGACACTTTACAGCACCATATTTTCCACAGGTATCATCCCTCAAAACTGGAAAGCAGCCACTATCATCCCTATTCCAAAACCCCAAAAAAACAACCAACTGGCTGGATCGCACCGTCCCATCTCGCTAATCTCGTGTCTTTCGAAATTAGTAGAGAAAATAATAGCCACGCGGTTGCTCTGGTACGCGGAAAAGATGAAGCTCATCTCATCCAACCAAGTCGGGTTTAGACCTGGTAAAGGATGCATTGACGCTCTGCTGCACATTGACTATGACGTCTCAAAAGCTCTGTCAACACGGAATCACACATCAATCTTATCAATTGACTTTGAGAAAGCATTCGATAGGATTGGATCCCACGTTATCCTAAAAACGCTACACCAATGGAAAGTTGGTCCGAAAATTTTCGGTTTAATAAAAGCATTTCTTCAACACCGAAAAATCCGTGTAAGAGTAAATGGCATCTGCTCTAGCCTATACCCCTTGGTCAATGGCATTCCACAAGGCTCACACCTTTCAGTTCTTCTATTCTCCATAGCTTTCAACGAACTCAATTCAATCCTCTCAAATAATGATCGCATCTCTCACTGCATATACGCAGATGATTTATATATCCTATGTAATATCAAAAACAACAATGAATCCAATCAGGTACTCGAGAACGCCCTTAAAGAAATAGATGCATGGACATTAACATCAGGAGCGAAGATATCCTTCGACAAAACAAAAAAAATACACATTGCAAAAAGCACCAATGTAACGCAAACAACCACAACATAACCCTACGTACCAATACTATTCGAAACGTTGAAGAACTCCGAATTCTGGGATTAATATTCACCAATAACTACTCCTGGAATCGCCAACTATCTACACTAAAAAAAAGCACTACTGCCTAGAGTCAACCTCATTTCATATCTCTCATACAAAGGATATGTGTACATTAACACCCTCATACACCTCATAAAAACAATAATCATCAGCAAAATTGATTATGGTTTATTTCTCAGCTTCCAAACCCAGCATTAACACCATAAAGAGCACATATCACAAAGCTATCAGAGCTGCCCTTTTTGCCTTCCGCACTACCCCAGTAACAAATCTGTTAATCGAGTCTGGCCTACCAAAACTTGAAGAACGAATACATACTGTTCGAGCCAAACTTATTCCAAAAATACTCTTCCAAACCAACTCAATAATAGACAAAGATGCGAAAAGACTGGTGTCAAACAAGCGAGCACTAAGGACGGTCCCAGCAATATCAAGAGTGCTGCAACTCTACACCGAATACGATATTGTACCAAAACTCCGGGCAATCGATAATCACAACCCTCCTTGGAAAATTAATCAGGCGTCATACTGGTCGTTAAATAGATATAAAAAAGACAGTACCCCTAACTTCACCTTTAAACAACTGTTTCTACAAAAAGCAACCGACCTCAAAAAGAGCGGATGGACTATCATTTACACAGTTGGCTCCAAAACAAACTACTCAACAGCGTTTAGCGTTACGACCGAATCTGGTTCTTATCTAAGCATAAAGCAAATGATCCCTCTTTCCTCAATATTCTCTGCAGAAGCAAGTGCCATTCTAGAAGCGTTGGCGCTATGTACTCATAAAAAGCAAAAAGTGGTCATATGCTCTGATAGCCTGTCACGTCATACGAGCGGTGAGAAATCCCACCTGTAAGAACTGGGAAACCATCAACAATATTAGGGATATACTAATAAAAAACGTCAACAACGTTAAGCTACTCTGGGTTCCAGGACACGCATCGAAGGTAACTCCCACGCCGATGAAGCTGCGAAATTCGCATGTAAGGCTCCCATCGTCACCGCTTCAAGCATAGAAAAAACTGACATAAAACACCACATCCACCAACACCTAAAAGCAAAGTCAAAAACGGAATACCAAAACTACCAACACCCTCACTACTCAGCCATCAACAAAGATCTGTTCCTCCGGAATACCCCAAAAACGTAAACGGTTTTAAAACCAGGATATTTTCTCGACTCCGTCTTGGGCACACAACACAAACACATGCATATCTCCTAAAAAGCGAAAACCAAACAATCTGCGAAAACTGTAACTCACTCCAAACATTGCAACACATCCTCAACGATTGCCCTCTATACGAAGAAGCAAAACAAGCAATACTCGCCTCACAGAACACTTCGGAAATACTCTCCATTCCTACCTCCACAAACATTGAAAAAATCGCTAGATTCGCTAAAACTATTGATTTAACCATATAACCACTAAAACTACGTGACACATACACAAATATAAATACAACTCATTTCTGCAACGTAGAGCTGATGGCCTCGGCAGCCAATGCTCATATAATTCTATTAGTTCTGATATTCATATCAGCACTAAATAATAATAATAATAATAATATAATTGGCAGCACCGACAAATGAATATATACACAAACAAATGTTTGGTTATGGTTAAAACAATTCAAGTTTTTGTATTGAATTTTCGGTTTAGAATTTATTTTTTCCTTTTCAGTAGGGGTTTTTGCACATTATATTTTCCGTGAGAATTTATCGTAATAGATACGGATCTGAATAAGCGACTGGAACTCGGCTGTTTGTCAAAAGCATACGAATTCGAACTCGCGTAAATGTACATTTGCTAAATGCGATAGCATGAACGCTCTTCGAAAACATATATTGCTGCATTTAAAATGCAAATTTAGCACTTTCGAACATATATATATATATTATAATCTGGAACTTAACTAACTTCAAAAATTAATCCTAATAACCTTTTTCGAGCCGAAATTTCATATGTCGCATGGCATATGGATGGCTCGTCATTAACAATACAAGGCTTGCAAAATCTCCTCAAAAGGTGGGCCAGGAGTTGAGTCGTTATTAAAAATATCCGTTTCGGCTCATATCTGAAATGAGCTTGGTCACGCAAAATATGTAAATGCTTAAGTAAGAAATAATAATATGCTATAAACTGTTAACTCAGTCTTTCAATTTAATGAAAAGTTCCACTAACATTAATGTTGAATTTTTTTTTCACTATCACAACTGTATAGTTAGGCTGATATATTGCAGTTCACCACTAAAATTCAAGAGTAGTAGTGAAATATGTTGCACTATCACCAGCTACTAGTGTAAACTAAAAATTTAGTGCGCTAAACCCAACTTTGCCTCTCGGCAGGCAATGACATACCTCCGAGTGTATTTCTGGCTTGAAAAAGCGTATCATAAAATCCATTTGCCGTCAAGATGTAGCGATGCAAGCGCCAAAATATTTACCGCTATGCTGTAATCCGTCGTACGTTAAATTTTGGTACGGAATATCTGTATGCTGTCCGCTTTTCCGTACCGTAATTTCGAAATTCGCAGGGTAATAATTAATTCGTAATATTGGTATGCCCGAATCCGACGTCCTTCTCGGTGAACGTAAGTTCCGCAGGGCTGTCACTGCTGCTGCAGCTCGCTTCATACCGGCAGGATGTATAAAGGACCCACGTCCAAACTTCCCTGCCGAAGCGGCTGTTCTAGCCGATGAGCGTGATAGCCTTCGTCAGGCCGATCCCGGAGATCCCCGTATCAGGGAT